TTAAGTTATTATTTTTATAAATAATATTATAACAATAAAAAGAAGTTAAATTTATTCCATTAACGTTACTTATAAATCTCGTAACTTAATTTGTCATTATGTTAATATATTAATTGTAAAAAATGTAACTTAACTTATTATCTCTATAACACTAATTATAATTAAAGGGTATTTTGGCCATTCAAGTAAGAAAATTTATTTCATTTCAGTGTTATGGGCCTACAGTAAAATTTCAGAATTTTTTGGAACCTAATTAAAACTATGGCACATCCAACAAACTTTAATAAAATTCTGCCATGTTGGAATTGTAACATATTTTGAAATTCGTACTATTATTATTGTTTGAAATGATATAAAGTAACTGTAAAAATTATTGAAAACTCAGATCATATATATGATTATATTTATCTTGTATTTGTATCATAAAATTATTTAGACAAGATTGTGGACATGTTTCAAAAAAATTTAGATTACATTATATTTGTATTTTTTGAGATTTAGTTATATTATTGTAATCAGTAACTGACAATCATTTTGTTTTAAAGCTATATACATATATATACACACATATATAAACACACACACAAACCCTCTAATATTTCTATGTATGAAGAAATAAATGTATCTGTCCATTTGTTAATAAAATATAATTTTTGTGCAACATTTTTTTGGTGATTTTATATTTAATATGAATCATATGATAGTGAAGATAGTTAATTAAATCCATATTTTGAAAACATAAAATGCAAGAATTTAAATTCACCAATAAAAATACATTGAAAGGGAGAAAATCACGAACTTTTTAAAAAGTATCAAACATAATTCAACACCACCCTATCTTATCCAATGTAAGGATGGGCTAAAACTTCGGGTGAAAAAGAATGGGCTTAAAGCTTAAAACTGACTGAGAGTGATAATGTTTTAGAAGCCCACTTTTAGTTCTCATGTTTAAACTCAATTCTATTTTTAATTTTTAATTTTCAATTTTCAAGCTCTTTTTTAATTTTTAAATTTTGTTTATCATTTCTTATATTTTTGCTTCTCTTTAATTTGTTTCATATATTTGTAGTTTTTGTAGTTGGTAATCAGTGATGTCAAAGATTGGTTTCATTGGTTTCATCTAAGACTTGCATAATATCATTTGCACTCATTTGAAGCCCATGGAAAAGAATTGATCTTAGTTACAGCAACATGAGCTTGTACGTTTTACCCCAAAAAAAAAAAGAAATTGTACATACCACACTATTTAAAACCTAAAAAATGAACACATTGGTTTAATAAAGACTTGATGTTTGAAGTATCTTTAATGTGAGAGAGATAATAAACTTTTTTATTAGAAGGAGAAATTATTAATATATTCAAATATGAATGGACTTGAGTTGGGGTGTTTCAGGGGAAAAAAAATGGAGTTGTGGTGAAAAGTTTTATATTAGAAAAAATTGAGTTTAATAGATCACATATATATATATATATATATATTATATAATTGAAAATACATATAAAGTTAGTTTTGATATGTGTGTGTGTGTGTGTGTGTGTGTGTGTGTGTGTGTGTGTGTGTGTGTGTGTGTGTGTGTGTAAAAGGACATATCAACTTAAACATTTAAGTTGAGTTAATATGTGATATTTTTTGTTGCAACCTTAGCCATTTGTTCCCTTAAAAAATGAAGTTGATGTAATGACTAGTTGTAATAATATAATAACATTGCCATATAATTGATAATAAACTATTTGGACTTGATTTTTGAGTCACAATCAACTACGTGAACTAGGCTTCTCTTAAATTAATTTTTCCTTAACTATTACTCCATTAGGCATCTCAACTATCAGATCATGTTTTAAACTCCCTGGATTTGTAAGCAAACACCTTTAATAAATGTTATAAAAAAATTGCTAATAATTAAGTAATTATTTGAATGTGAAATGGTTAGTGAATAATCGTAGAAAGTGTTAAAAATTATAATAAATTGTAACGATTAAGTAATAAATCAGGAAGCGTATGGATTAACTAATAATTAACAATTAAGTAATGATTAATCAATATTTTTTAATCACTAGAGGATAAATAACAAATAATTATTAATTAAAGATAAAAATTCATCTACTTAATAGTGTATAATGACTTCTTATACATGTTTTGCTAAGATGTGGGTAATTCATTTATGTTATAAGTGCAATTGATGCATTTTAAATTTGAAGCAAGGGTCAAATCATCAAGTAAAAAATGAGCCAAACAAGATTGGAAGAGTTAAATGGGGACAATAATAAAGGTGGCATGTAATGAAACAAAGTAAAAAAAAAAAAATTCACTGTGTCTGAAAGAAATGGCCAGGAGCTTTAAAATTTGATTGAGAATCCGAATTACAAGTGCTTGGAAAATCCACAGGCCAACGTACATTTTGATTAATCAAGTGATCTTTCCTTTGCTCTTTCAAGTGTCCTGTGATTCTTAACCCATTCATTACTTCCTGTTAGGAACAGGGAACGATTGTTTAAGTGAAGAGAACAAATGAGCGACCAATTGTAATGAAACAACACTGCATGAGGTTCAAGTTTATAGATTATTTTACCTGAGATTTTTTATGAACTTTAAGCAGTGTAATGCTCACACAAGTCCTCGTGAACTCAATTAAGACCAATTTCATTTTGAACTTTAGACATGTATATTATATTGGCCTGCAATATCAAAACGATCTCTTTTGGGCAAGAGATATTATGAATCATTTCATTTTATTACGCACTCCGTTCTTTTCAAATTATAAAAAGAATATTGTAAAAATTTAATATCCCAAAATATAAGAGATATTAATAAAAATAAAATTTCATTAATGATACTTTGTTAATATTATCATTTTCATATATTTTTTAATATTTTTTCATGAAGAAAGTATTAAATTAATAATATTTTTAAAAATTTATATTTTTTGTTTTAAAAAGGTAAGGTTGTAAATTATATTTAATAAATCTAATTGATATGCATGAGTTTGTTTAAAAATACCTTATAAATTAATTCAATAGAGGGAGTATTAATTATTAACACCTTTGTACGATAAGCGACCTCCCATGTTCATTCAAGTCTGATGGCCTACCACTTTTATATTGGATGTGTCGCTTATTTATATTTACATTAGTTGTAAATATTGAAGTTTGAGTTATAAACTCGATATTAAAATATCTTTGATATTTTTCATGTGTCCTCATTTGTCATTCTTTCTTAATTCTTTGCCCTTGTCAATCCCCTCCGAAAATGATGGTAAAAAAAAAATAAAAAATCCCTCCCGAAAAAACAAGTCTTGTATAAATGGTCAGATTTAGCTCCCAATTTATATATATGTAAGAATTTAGCTTAGCCCCCAATATTGGCATTGCAACTTACAACGTGAGTCTCCGAAGTCTTCCGTAGATTGTTATTCCATTTCTGCACAGTCAAACCCCCCCCCCCCCCCAAAAAAAAAGGATCCAATATAAAACTGATGGGCTCCCAATATGCGTGAGAGAGAGAGAGAGAGAGAGAGAGGGAGGTGTAAGTGAGAGAGAGAGAGAGAATTTAGCTTAGCTTCCAATATTGGCATTGCAATTTGTTATTAAAAAAAGAATCCAATATAAAACTGATGGGCCTAAGACCCAAATTATCCTCTCTCTCTCTCATCTCCTTTCAAATGGAAAATTATTGTGCAGCCTCAATGCAAATTGCAAGCATCCAACTTACCTTTTTGCTAGAGTATTGCTTTTCCTCCATCCAATCAAAACATTGCTATTATTCAACATTTTTTTATTAAAAATAAAAAATTGATAATAAAATTCCTCTTAAATATATAAATAATAATTTAATCTTAAATTATTATAATTTTCTTGAAATTGTTAATAAATTTTTTATCATTAATAAATTTAAATAAATTATCAAGTTATCATTGTTAAAAAAATAATTCATAAATTTTATTTAAATATTTATAACTTTCTTTCTTACACTTGTAAGAGTATAACAATAAATAAAAATTATCAAATTTATAATTTATTATTATATTATTTTGAATATAAGAAAAAATTATTAATATTTAAATAAAAATTTTGAATTATTTATTTTTAATAAAAATAATTTAATAATTTAAATAAATTTATTAATGAATGAAAAATATATCATTTTAAGGATCAAACTTTATTATCATTTCCTCTTAAAAATATACTTTACTTTTTCAGATATCCTATTAGTGAATGTCCAAATAAAAAGATGTGAACATTATAAATGGAAGAAAAGAATCGGGTAAAGAACGAGGGGGTAAAAAAAGACAATTTGAAAGGAACGAGTAAATGAAGATATATTATTTTAAAATTAAATAAATTAAAATGCCAAATATATACTTGAAATAACGAGGAAGATTAAATTAAGTTTCGAATGATTGTCGAAATAAGAGAATCAAAATTCTAAATCTCTATGAAGAAAAAGAAAATTAAAATTCAAAATTGGGAGAACAAGAGGTGAGGAAGAAAACAAAACACAAATAATGATGAGCTCTGGATTAGTCCCACAGAGCATGAAAAAGCCACGCCAAAATAATATTTAAAAACAAATAACTAATGTAAGTCCCACAAAGTCTAAAAAAAATTCCTTCATTTCTCTCATCTTTTTCCCCAATTCTCCCAATCTGTCAACCCTATGAGAATTTTTGTTGGTCCCGTTGTAACCATGAGCTTTAATTATTTGATTATGGTCTGTTTGAATCCAGCTTTTTGCATTCAAAAGAGTGTAAATGTTATCAAGGCATTTATTATGCTTATATGAAAATCCAATTGAAAGCATATTTTGCAAACACCTTTACTAGCCTTTCACTTTTGAGACGTGGACGTGAGCTATTAATTTCCAACTTTTGATAAACAAATTCACTTTCGGTCAAACAAAAAAAAAGAAAAAAAAAAAGATCAGTAAGATCACTTTGACTAGTGAATTTTTCACACTTTTACCAATCTAATTAAGAATCAAACACTTGGACACTGCGAAAACAGAGAGAAAGACACAGATTGAATGATTCTCATGTAATCATACTTGGAAATGTAAAATTTGACTTTGATTGGAACTATAAGTATATGCAAGAATTCTGGGGAAGGATCAGAAAATGCAGAGCATGACAGAACTGAAATCCAAACACCAGATTTTGACGAAAGGGATGAATTCAAGCAGAGAAGAAGCTATGAGAAGCAGCAACACCAATCTGGGTTCTGGGTTCAGAAACCCAATTATAACTCAGAAATTGTCTCTTCTCTTCATCAAACATGTGCTTCAGCCCCTGAGCCACCGAATGAACCACCTCCAAACGACGCCGTTCGTCAGAGCCAGACCCACCAGAACCACCACCAACAGCAGGAGCCTTCTTTGCGTTCTTGATTCTCCTCTCATACTCTTCAGCCACCAACATCGCTATATCAGCCATTGATCCTTGAAACTTGAAAGCTTGAAACTTTTAAGAGTGATAATAATAATTGTTGATTGGTTTGGATTCTCGCAAACAGGAGGGGGTTTTTATAGGTAGAAGCTAGAAGGTAGCAGAAAGTGGAGAGATATGGATAAGGGCGAGGGGGCAGCAACGGAGGTGGGATCGGTTTTATTAAAATAAAGAGAAAATAATATTTAAAGACCTTCTACAAATAATAATTATAACAGAAGACTCTAATCTTATGAAATGTTAGAAAAAGACCATAGTTGTTAGTTAGAATTGAGATTTTTCTGACCCCATTTTTTTTCCCCTGCTCACCTTCCATATTTTTAATATACATCTTTGACATTTTCAATAGTTATTTTTAATATTTTTGGTACTCAATTTTTTATTTTTTTTCAAAAGTCACTTCATATGTTTCCAATATTTATATTTCATGATTTCAATATTAGAAAAAATTAGAGATAAGTGATTTTCAACAATGAAAACATAAAAGTTGAATATTGAAAAGTGAAAATATCCAAGATGATTATTGAAAAATTGGATACTGAAAGTGTTAAAAGTGAGTACTAAAACTTAAAAAAAAATAATTCCAATTAAGGAATACTATGGTTTGTTTTTAGAATTTCAAATTTTCAAGGCTCTTAATTACAAATAGGATTTCTGGAGGGTCCTTAAATGTCATATTTCCTAAAATATAAATGATGTTGCGATGCGAGGTTTTATTATTTTAAAAGTGGGAAAATTGGGTGGGACATGGGTTAGTGGGGATGATTGAGAAAAAGAGACGCGGGTTGCAAATCAAAAACCAGAACTCAACATGTTTTTGTTGGTGACTTGTGTGGTATTTTTTAATTTCTTTTACAGACAAGTGGAGGCGCCCATTGTATTAACTTTTTTCGGTTAGTATCACAAGTGGGGATAATGGGTTTGCATTGTACTATGTGGAAATGTGGCTTGATAGGGACTGATCCACATGCAACGTGCACGTGTCTAGTGGTTTACTATTTGATAATCCGTGTCAGAAATTATAAAACATTTTGGAGAAGATATGATATTTTAAAATATATGATATTTTAATAAAAATAAAATTTTATTAATTATATTTTTTAAATATTACTCTTTTTATTATATTTTTTCTTTTTTTACAAATTAAATATTAAATGAACAATATTTTAAAAAAATTATATTTTTAAAATAAAAATATAAAGTTATAAAGAGTTTTCACTTTCTTTAATTATATTTATAAGTCACTTTTAACATATTTGATCAAAATTAAGTAAAAATTTAAATTTTATTAACTCTTTTAAAATTTAATAAGTTTTAAACTCTACCTCTAGTAAGAACAAAAAAGAATATTTTTGCTAATTTTTCATAGTGTTTAATGAGAATAGAAAGGTGAAGCCGTATTAAAAAAATAGTTAAGTGCTTTATAAATAGGGCTACAAGAGTAATGAGTTTTATTAGTACTCCATCTTATTCTATTTATAGGACACCTTATAAAATAAATTTTGGTTTGAAATGTAGGACATTTTATAATAATTAAATTACTTTTTTTTACTTTTATCATTTCTTAGTTAGCTTGAAGGTATTTAATTTAGTTTTGTCATAATTTAAAGTTAAGGGTAAAAATAAAAGTATATCTCATTATTTTATGATATAAAAAAACCTAACTTTTTTAATAGGTCTAAAATTATTAAAAATGTTTTATAATAAGAATTAGAGAAGATAAATGAAATTATGTGTAAATGTCTTTTATAAATTGGAATATAGAGTAATTTAAAAGTGGTAACTAATTTAATTACGACTTTTTCAGTTAAAAATTTGAATGCCAGTAGCTTTTCTTAGCTTGATCAGCAAGTAATCTGTCGTGATTGATCTGTGGCATTATTTATTTTTTATATTTTTTAAACTAATTTCTTATTATTCGTGGAAAATAAATTATTAGCAGTTTTGGTGTTGTCATGCTAATAATAATAATTAAAAATTTGATTTTTTTTTTTCCCTGGCTACTAAGGGGTGGTTCGGGGTATGGGGAAAATTCGCAGTCGAATCGATCTACTTTCGGTTCAATGAATTATTTCTCATTGGTCGGTGATGAAACAGATAAAATGACGTAAAACATTTACGTCACTAGATCTTTATTCCTGAGCCGCTTCCACATCACCGTCACTAGATCTTTCTCGAGAGGACATATTACCTCTGGTATTTTTCATATATTTTTCTTAAATTGATGATATCCAGAGTAAAAATCTCATATCAACCAACGTTAACCACTGTACATTAGAAATTACATAATCGATCATGCAATACATTGGATTCCATCACGGTGACTGAGGAAATTTAAACCATTTGGTTTTCATTTTAAATTAAATAGAATATATAAAATATGCCACACTAATGAACGTCATACCCATCTACAACCTTAAAAAAAAAAAAAAAGTAACCTTCCAACTTATAAAATACATTATAACTCTGAGAAATTATCGTATTCCTCCATTTTTCACCTAATGCCACCTTACATGGAAACTGGAGTGGGGTGATATTCCGGAAACTAACCCCTAATTTAAAATAAAAACCAAAAAACGAAAAAAAATACAGAGAAAGAAAAGCAGTTCTTCTGCTCTTATTGACGAAAATCTGAACTAAAGCCACACTAATCCTATAAAAACATTTGATAAGGTTTTTTTTCCCCCATAATCCATATTAATAAATACTAGTTAAAACCATCAACAGAACTAAATCTAGTAACTTAATTATCAGACCTTCAAAAACTGGCAGACGAACATCAAAACGAGAACACAGGTTAGAATTACAATGAGAATAAAACTACGTGTAATGGGATGCTCGAAGTTTTATCCTTTTCCGTTCTTCACATCACATAAACAGGCGAAACACGATTTTATAAATTTCATACATAAGTATAATTGTACAAATTTAACCAAATTGCTATGTCAACCTTATCAATAAGTGGCATATCTGTGTAAAAAGGAATGGCCAATCAAAACCTGGGGCCAAACACGTCTCTGCATATATTTAAGTAACTCTCGTCAGCGAATAGAGGACAATTCATAAGAGGCCGAGTGTTTTTAGCTGCTGAACGTGCTCAGGGGGCAGAGGTGGTGGGCACCAATCAGATCCCGTCATTTCCCCATCAACGTCCTCAACAACGTACTCCTATCATGACAAGAATATATTTTCATAATCAAGGAAGAGAGAAACAGAGAGAGATTCAGATCTATCACTCCAAAAGCTGCTTATAATAACCCATCTTGTGCCCTTTTATAGAACATAATCCCTAACTACCTGTTAATCTCTTTTAACTAACTACTATTTTTTTGCTTATTACATAATACAAGATGAAGTCAACCTATTTGAGACCCGCTTCAGTACACACAACACATGCAGTTGAGCCAGGACATGGGAATATCAGTATGAAGGATAACAAATCTTATGCAATGTTTGGTAGGTAGAAAAATATTTTCTAGAAAGGAAACGAAAATATTTTTTCATGTACCAAACATTAAATTGTTCGAGTGTCAGTTTTACACGAACATTGAAAAATGAAGGCAAAAAGTGGCCCTCGTTGCTTCATATCGGGCGAGATCATTTTAAAGTAAAACAGGCACAGCATAAAACAACGCATGCTATTCCATGGTATACTTTAATATCTAATACCATATACCATTCCAAAAGGTAAAACATGATTTCATGCTTGAAAGTCCAGTCAGTAGAACAAAGGGAGACAAAAATCCTAGAGGGGATTTGCTATCATCATTCCTCTAATAAAAGTCTGCTCTAGTAAGGTGGTAAGAAATTGTCTCGTGGTGAAATGCAAAATAAATAAAAAGGGGTTTCTTATCATAATTTACCATAGAAATTTCAAGGAAATTCTTATAATCAAACCAGCAACGGCTATTAGCCAAAAAGGGGGGGGGGGAACATGGATAGCTGTATGAGAAAAACCTCCAGATAAGTCAAATGCTTAGGTGGACTTAGGTGCTGTGGTGCACCCATAGTTTATGCTTCATCGCACCGCACCAAATGGACAAAAGCCAAGAAGGTGAACTGGATGTACCTTTGTTAGCATTCTTTTTGCAAGTATGTGGTAATGTCGCTGCCAAATTCGCTGTCCTACCATGGTAGCCACCAATACACTGTAAAATATCCCAATTACAGTAAAAAGTCCCAGAACAATCAGAGCCATTATAAACAGTAGAGGTAGTCCTGCTTCCCCAGCACCTCCAAGGCATCCACCACATTCAGTAGCCATGGTTCCACAACTCTCAAAGCAAGTGGTGCAATCAGTCCACATGCAGAGAGTTCCTGGCAAATGACAGTCTGCACAGACCCTACAACAGTGGCATAAACCGCAAAAAGGAATGTCAGTCTACCTATTCTCACACAATACATTGATACACTTCAAAAAAGTCGCACATGCAAAGATGTATACCTAGAAGGCTAAATTTTTCAATTTGACTTCCTCAATGAGAATAATGGTTAAAATAGCAAATTAATTCTCAAAATTCACAGCGTAATATAGATGTCAGAAATTCAGAGTAATAATTCATTATCAATATGCCTCAAGTAGATCTTAAGAGTAGACTTAGAAAATAGAAACCCTCCATGTTAAAGATTCAATATATCAAAGTAGAGTTACTACCCTGGTTGACAACAACAAAGACATAATTCCCGGCAAGGCTGAGCTAAATCATTGCGAACTCTTCGATCATAACAAGTAATGAAGCAGCCAGACAGGCCAAGCAAAGCAAAAAACAATAAAGCCCCTGCATTTGACAGTATCAACATGAAACCAAAACCAAAATCAGCATCTTTTTATAGATGAACAAAGCAATTTGCAAACTCACCAAAAACAAAAAGCCTACAGATTGCCAAAAGAAATTGAAAGAAGCATAATGAAGAATACTGCCTAAGCTCTTAACAGCTTACCGCATATGTAGTAAAAGCTAAGCTCACTATCAAAACCCCAAATATGACGAAGCCAGTATTGCTGGTAACCATCCATTAGATAAACCAAATAAGCCAGTGAAGCAATGACCTAAAAGCAAAGGAAATAGGGTGTTAAGTCAAAATTTATTTATATGTAGAAAAAAATATATAAGCATCCAAATCATTCAGACAATGGAAAAAATAAACCTACAAGCTGGACAGTCAGAAATATGAACAAAATGTCTCTAGTGACAAAGAACCGAAATTTCAAGGTTCGCCATTTCCTATCAGCAGCAACATGAACACGCAAATAATAAGGAGCCTTGCACGTCGTGCAATGAGCAAATGCAAATCCTTCCTGCAAGAATTTATCAAGATATTCATATTCATTATGTAAAGAATACAGAAAGCACTGTAAAGTGCAACTCTTAGTACAGCATAAAGCACTGTAAAGTGCAACTCTTAGTACAGCGCAGGAAAGTTTGTTGACATTCCCAGATTCCTTCTAGCATTAGGTAAAGTAAAAAATTCATCCAGAGATAGGTAGATCGCTACACAACCATGATAAGTTTCATAGTAACGCTTTATCCAATATGGATGTTACAGAACCAATGTCAATAGTATTGCAAGGACAAATGAAATAGAGCTTGGTAAATAGCCAAAGGAACATATAAAAAAGTATATAGGTCTGAAAAAAGTCCTATTCAAAAAATAAAATAAAATAAAATAAAACACAAACTATTCCCTCAAATTTTGCTCACTCTGCTCATGCACAGATATAAGCTTATATATGACATGACATTATTTAATAATATACTTATTTCTGCGGAGGAACTTTCAGTGCTTAAAGACCTTCGTTAATTGAAAAACAACATTAATTTTTTGGTGATCACTCCTTACTGACTGTCATATATTAATAATCATGATTTTTTGTCACTTAACGTGCCAAAACTTCTTTTACAAAAATTTAAATTTGAATAACAAAAAGGCTAATTGTAACCAAGCTTCTATAAATGCATTTTGCCAAGAAAGGAGAAAAAATTGAAGCAAAGGATGTGACCAGAAAACTAGCAAAAATGGTGGTACTTCTCATTTTGCAAGATTGTGTTGAAAGAAGGCTTTCAATTGCAATGGTAATGCAATCACAGCTGAATGTAATGCATTTCCTTAAGAGAGTGCACATGCGCACGCTTGCGTGTGTGTTTGAACTTTTGCTACATGTTATCTTAACACATGCTTGTTGCCAGGTAGTGCGAATCCATGTAGAATATATGTCTCAGCTTTCTAGTGTCTTTAATTATGCGTTCAATTTGAACACAAGTCTTCTGATTCAGAAATGATACTTTCAATGACAAATGTGTGTTAATGTTTTATTTATAACAACAAGAGAATATATTTCTCACAATAAAGTCAAGCTCATGAGAACAGTGTAATTTGTTAAGAGACACAATATGTTGCTATCAAGTTATATGCACGTGCATAAGAACTGATTTTCTAGTAACATGGAGTTACTAATAGATTGTGAGGGTTATTTATTGAATCATTTATTTTATGATACAATCAAATATAAGATTATTTTACACAAAGGAGTTAGTGTGATCACCAAAAGGAAATGACTTTTTCTTTTCAATAAACGACAGAAATTTTATCATTGACAACTGAGAATGTACTTTTTGTGGTCCTATTTATAAGTCACTTCCAGTATATTTTACTATAATCAAGGAAAACCTTAAATCTTATTACTTTGTCTTAAAATCTAATAAGTTTCCACCTCTACCTCCCTAACAAGGACAAAAGGAACTACTTTTAATAATTTTTCCAAATATATAATAAGGGCAAAAAATTAAAGATGAATATAGAAAATAGTGAAGTATCCTATAAATAGAACTATGTTTATAGCCGGTCCCAAGCTCGGGTAAAGGAGGAGGGTTGTGTTAGGCCATCAACAGCCAATGTAAAAATTTGTTGAATCTATCATGAACATGGACAATAGACGTTATAATGTTAATGCTAGGTCGTTGCCCGTAAGTAACGCGCTGCATGGCTCGAGTACAGTGATAAGTGAGTTAGAGCCGCTGCATCGGCGCCCGGATGTAGTGTTAAATGAGCAAGGGCTACCGCATCATTCTGGACGCACGCGGCTAAAGAAGTTAGTCCATAAGAGCAAAATTAGATTTGGTATTTGGAATGTTGGGACATTAAATTGTAAATCTGTAGAGGTTGTAGGGGTTATGATTCAAAGGAAAATCAATATCCTTTGCTTGCAAGAAACAAAATGGCGTGGAGAAGGAGCTAAGGATATTCAAGGTTTCAAACTTTGGTATACAGGAAAAGTAAGTGCACGCAATGGAGTAGGCATCATTATAGATAAGGAGTGGGAGAAGAACGTTGTAGAAGTTAGCAGAATTGGAGACAGAATTATTTCTATAAAAATGATAATTGGACGTGAGACTGTTAATATTGTTAGCGCTTATGCGCCGCAAGTCGGGACAGAAGCCAGTCTTAAGGAATTATTTTGGGAGGATCTGGAGGGGTTGATTCGACACATACCATAGAGTGAAAAGATTTTTATTGGAGGAGACTTTAATGGGCATGTCGGGAGGGAAGCTGGTCAGTATGCGAGGGTGCATGGTGGTTTTGGTTTTGGAGAGCTAAACAATGAAGGGCAAACTCTTCTTGATTTCTCATTGGCGTATGATTTTAAGATTGCCAACACTTGTTTCAAGAAGAGAGATGAGCATCTCATCACTTACAAAAGTGGAACCTCAAGGTCGCAGATTGATTTTCTTTTGGTTAGGAACACAGATAGAAAACTTTGTAAAAATTGTAAGGTGATCCCTGGAGATGCTGTAACGACACAACATAGGGTCCTAGTCTTTGATGTGTGTATTATGAGTAAAATCCAAAAACGTCGACAAGTAGTAACACCAAGGATTAGGTGGTGGCAATTAAAAGGTGAGAAGCAAGATATTTTCAAGCGAAATCTTTTGGATAAAGGAATTTGGGATTCTCAGGGAAGTGCTAACATCATATGGGAGGATATGGCTAAAAAGATACGGGAGGTTGCAAAAGTAGTTTTGGGAGAATCGAAAGGTTCTGGTCCGAGAGATAAGGAGTCTTGGTGGTGGAATAATAGTGTACAGGACAAAATCAAGTATAAGAAGAACTGTTTTAAAGCCATACATTTGTGTAACAATGAAGAAAATTGGGAGAGGTACCGTATGGCTAAGAAGGAAACTAAGAGAGCTGTGGGTGAAGCTCATTCCAAAGCTTTTGAAGAATTTTATAAGAACCTTGAGACGAAGGAAGGAGAGCAAAATATTTATAAGATTGCCAAGAGTAGGGAAAGAAAATCAAGAGATCTAGAACAGGTAAGGTGTATTAAGGATGAAGAGGGAATACAGATGATGAAATTAAAAATAGATGGGAGACTTATTTTTCTAAACTTTTCAATGATGGAGAGGATTCATCTAGTAACTTGGAGGATTTAGTAACTGGTGAAGGAGAACAAAATTTGTCATTCTATCGAAAAATACGTGATAAGGAGGTAAAGGAAGCTCTTAAGAAAATGGCAAATGGTAGAGCTAACGGACCTGATTGTATATCTATCGAAGCGTGGAAATGTTTAGGTGAAGAAGGGGTGAGATGGTTAACTAAGTTATTTAATGTGATTTTACGGTCCAAGAAAATGCCTGATGAGTGGAGGAGAAGTACATTAATTCCTATTTATAAAAATAAAGGAGATATTCAGAATTGTACTAACTATAGAGGAATTAAACTCATGAGCCACACAATGAAATTGTGGGAGAAAATAATTGAGCACAGGTTGAGATTGGAGACAAGTATTTCTGAGAATCAATTTGGTTTTATGCCAGGTAGATCAACTACAGAGGCGATTTATCTACTAAGGGGATTAATGGAAAAGTATCGTTGTAAAGATAAATATCTACACATGGTTTTTATTGATTTGGAAAAAGCTTATGACCGTATACCAAGAGAAGTGCTTTAGAAAGCGTTGGAAAAAAAGGGAGTACGAATTGCTTATATTAAAGCCATACAAGATATGTATGAGGGGGTAAAAACTAGTATAAGAACGCCTAGTGGTCAAACAAAGGATTTTCCTATAAAGATTGGACTACATCAGGGATCATCTCTGAATCCTTATTTGTTCAACTTGATTTTAAATGTTTTGACGGAACATATTCAAGAGGAAATCCCGAAATGTATGCTCTTCGCGGATGATATAGTTCTTATAGCAGAGACAAGAGAAGAGGTTAATTGCAAACTTGAGTTATGGAGGAGGACATTGGAGTCGAAAGGTTTTCGTCTGAGTAGAAGTAAGACGGAATATTTATATTGTAAATTTGGTAAAGGACTATTCGAAAATAATTTGGAAGTGAAATTGGGAGATCAAATTATACCTCAAGTGGAAAAGTTTAGATATTTGGGAGCCATTATTCAAAATGATGGCGAAATCAGTGGAGATATTTCACATAGAATTCAAGCTGGGTGGTTTAATTGGAGAAAAGCTAAAGGAGTTATTTGTAACCGTAAGGTGCCTAATAAACTTAAAGGAAAGTTTTATCGTACTGCTATCAGACCGGCAATGTTATATAGTAGTGAATGCTGGGCTCTAACGGGACAGCAAGAGCATAAAGTTGGAGTAGCAGAGATGAGAATGTTACGATGGATGTGCGGACATACACGTAAAGATAAAATTCGAAATGAGCACATACGTGAAAAAGTGAGGGTGGCACCTATTGAGGAAAAAATGGTAGAAAATCGGTTGAGATGGTTTGGGCATGTACAAAGAAGACCAAGGGAGGCACCAGTGAGAAGAGTGGAACATATAACTTTGAGTCCGATTAAGAGAGGTAGAGGAAGGCCTAAGAGAACACTCTTGGAAGTTGTTGAACGTGATCTCTTAATTAATAATATTTCTAAAAGCTTAATAAATGATAGAGCACAATGACGTCTTGCAATCCATGTAGCCGACCCCACCTAGTGGGATAAAGGCTTGTTGTTGTTGTTGTTGTTGTATCCTATAAATAGAACTAAAATTAATCTTCTCTCTCTGTCCTATAAACAGGACAAGAGTAGTAACCGATTCCTTTAATTGATTGATTGCAAAAGGACAGTTTCAGACCTAAACATGGTCAGTGTTACAAATACAGCCGTTGCCCTATCTACTGTCTGGCAATCATCACTTCATCAAACAGTAGCGACACTAAGATCACTGGCACGTGATGTTCAGCCATGGCTTTAATATAAGTATAATATACTCTAATTATCCTAATTACAACATTGGAGACAACATCCTTACCTTAACAGCTCGCCAATGATCCAAACATTCTCGATGTACATATTTTGATGTTCCTTTGCACTTGCAAGGCGCTATGAAGTCCCTACCTGAAAAATAGTTAACAATTGATAATCATACATCCTAAAACCAGAATATGTGCTCAGAACGAAACTTGCAAGTATCTCCAGCAGATTAATATATAACCTCAATATTCCCCATAAATATTAACAATATTCCCGCACGCAGTGCCATGAAAATTAAGGTATCCACAACAAAAACATTCTTGAAGATCATTACAAATCACACAGGTTCCCTGGCAATGAGTAGATTACATACTTGCCTTAAACATACTTTAGAAACTGAACCCAACATGGGGATAAAGTTTCGTGGCCTCCCACTAAGAATATTTAGAACAAGTATAGGACAATATAGTTATGCAGGCACAATTGCAGCCAAACGAACCTCGCAGTGTGAAAAAAAGGCATTGAATTTCAAAAAAGAATCAATTAAACGCAAGTAATTCTGAATTACTCCACCTTTACTTCTCATCGCAATCACCAAATGAGAATTGAAATGCCATTTGCCCTAACCCGGAATTGGATATAAAAGTAAAATTACCATCAGTCTCGAGACAAATCCGGCATTGAATTTGTTCACTGGGACCTGCTTCTAGGTCGATCTCGCAAGGGTCAGTGATAGGCGTTGGAGGGATTAGAGGCGAATCGTCAGAGCGATCCGCCATTAAATTAAAATACAAAGAAAGTAGAAGAAAGGGAAGAGGAGAAATAAGAGTTCAAATTGAATGAATTTTGGAGGAATGAGTCTGAAACCATGAATTCGTGAATCGTGATCACATAATCTGATTTCAGAATTCAGACTCCCACTTCTCTTTGAATGTGGAGTTGAGTTGCCTCCACACGCGCACTCGCTAACTCTGTTCTCTTGACTTCAACTTTTTACCAAGAATTAGGATGCACCAGCGAAATTCGCGGAATTAAGTGGGTAAAATCTAAAATCAAATTTAAATTTTCCTACCAACAATTTTTTGTTTTTAAAAATTATTTTATAATATAATATTCAGAATTATTTTTAAAATAAAATAAAAATAAGTTTAGTTGTGTTAATCTAAAAATAATTAAAATTAAAAAAATAGAATGATAATGATTTTTGCCAACAATAGATGGTAGTAATCTATAATAAAAATTAGTCAAACTAGCTATATTTTTCAATAGTAAATGTAGTATATTTTAAAAAATAAAATGATAAGAACTTTAAGATATTTTCATTTTTTTATTTTTAAAAATAATAGATGTGAATAGTTTTGAAAGTAATTAAATTTAAAATATTTATTCAGATTTTTTTTTTATTTTTAAAACCAGAAAACCCTAAGCGTATGAGGTTTTAAAATTTGTGGTGCAACTAGTATGTATGTTCCCCTCTAATAATTAAAAATGATATAATATTGTTCATACTGTTATTAGTTGACCAAGAACTTACCAAAAAAATATATTCAAAAATACAAAAAATAACAAAAAAATTATTAATGAGTATCCTATAAAAAAATTAAAACCAAGTTCATTAAACTCTAAATAAATATCAAAAAACAAATGTTGTTTCTTTTTCATGTGGAAGATTAAAAGGTTGATTATCCAATCATCATTATTGATAACATCGGTGAATAGCTAAAAAAATAACACGCTTACAACTTTTTTTTATTTACTAGAAAGGAAAATATATTCCAAGAGAGAGCTAAAGCTTAATACAAAGGAACACGGAAAAAAACAAGCCATAAGCCAATAAGGCAAAAAGTATAAGTAAAAATTAACGGAAATAGCATTAAGTCAGACTATTCCTTCTCAATCTCTGGAAATCATTGGTTGCATAAAACCACGAGCTGCGCCACCTGAGTCATGAGCTAAGATATCTGAAAGAAGGAGTGAAGGCAAAGAACTCATACGTTTGATATGATGAAAGAGTTTTTAATGAAATCAGAATTGGAATCGGAATCGGAATCGGAATAAAATTAAGTTTTAAAAGTGTATTTGGTATGAAGATAGAATTTTAATATAATATTAATTTATATATGTACTTAAAATAGGAAAAGACTAAATTGTCCTTTTTTTAAATTAAAAAGACCTATCTTATTATAAATGAACAAAAAAGATGAGGATGATAAGGTCTTCAAATTGAATTCAAAGGAATTGAAGCAATTTTATAGTCAATATGATGGAATTGGATTCTAGCATTTTTGGTGGAATTAGAATTCTTAAGAATTACAACTCTTGCATACCAATCATGTTTAAATTAAAATTTCATCTTTAATTTCATTTTCACCTTATCAAATGTTATCAAATATGGCCTAATAAATTTAATATTATCAAATATGGCCTAAAGGTTCCACTCCTTTTAGTGAAGATGCTGCCAACTGATCAGCAACAGAGTCTTCTTCTCTTTTGACAAAGGAAAAAGGAAAAGCTAAGTACAAATGGATAGTGGCAAAGAAATCCTCAAGTGGGCTGTAATGAGACCAATGACAATGAAAGAGATCGAGAGAGAAACCACACCGTACAGCTCTAAGCAATCTAATTCAAAGACAGCCTCAATGATATGACAATTTACAGCAATTCGGACAACTTTCTTAAGTGCAATAAATTCCATCATAAAGCTAGAAGAGGCAGCAACAAGTTCTTGCCAACTCTTAAAAAAGTTTTCCCTGTGGGCAGGCCATAAAATTCCTATCATAGCCCTTTTTGAGATAATAGAGTATGCACTATCACAATTAAATTTGAATTTACCTATAGGGGTGGTTTCCATTGTACCTGCAGCTTAGTAATAAGTGAATTAGGATTCGCTAGAATTCATTTATAGTAGCATTTGTTAAGCCAGTAACAAGGACATGGTAATCTCAACAGCCAAGAAAACCTTGGCAGACCTGGTTTTTCGAATAGTCCAGCATAAGCAGGCAATGTAAGCCTTAACAAAATCATCCAGAGGGCTATTGTCTAACAAAAAAGAAAGATCTCCACTCTTAAAAGAAGTAAGCTTCAAAATCAATGGTGATGGAAAGTAGATATTGTAACATCCTGAATTTTATTTACTAAATAATGAATTAATTATAAGCAATTGTGAGGCATAACAAATTTTGAAGTGTATAAAATTAGTTATTATTAGAGGGTTAGAATTTAGAAATAAGTTAATTAATTTAAAATAAAGAATTTATGCAAAATAAAATAAATCATAAGAATTTAATTCTAAACAAAATAATAATAATAAAATTAAATTGTTATATATATATATATATATAAATATAAGAGAAACAACAAATGATTAAAAGCAAATCCATGAATATATACACAAACATTTACGCGTGTATATGTATTTATTTATAACATAATATGTATTATATAAAAGTAAACAAAAAAAGGTAGAAGGAGGAGGAATTGGGCGTGAGCCACAACCCATAGATCATACCATTCATTATTACACCTAAGCACCCCATCACTTAATACTAGCCAAATGAGTTATGGGCCAACTTGATATTTTTGCAGGTTGGGTTGGATCAGCCTATCAGATAAAATGAGTTAAAAAATTCAAGCCAATCCATTTTCTAGCGGGCTAGCCAACTCACGGGCCGGTTCACAAAAAATTATCAAAATTTTTTTTAATAATTTAAAATTTATATAATATAAGCATATATATTTATTTCATATTTTAAAGCAAATTAACAATTAAAAAACTTGTAAATAAATAAAATAAACATAGAATTCAACTAAGAAAATTCATTTTGCTAGATTTTACTATCAATTATTTTCTCACCTAGGTGTGCTATCTTTGTCATTAAGAAAAAAATTTGAATATAAATTCATATTATTTTTCTTAGTGAATTCATATCTATAATTTCGATCAATAGATCTTATGAAATTAATAAATAATATGTATTCAAAACATTTCTATAAAAATTAATAAATCATCTTCACAAACTATAACAAAAATTTTATTTACAAATTGTAAAAAAGATTTACACTATATTTCAAATGTAAAGAACATATTTGAAAGTCATAAATTATATATTTAAAAAATATTATCATTATTTTAGATTTATAAAAAGATATAATATAATTAAAAAATAAAAAATTATTTTTTAAAAATATGCTAGCCCGCGGGCCAGCCCGTTTTAGCCTGCTATTTTTACGGGTTGGGCTAACCTAACTTGTTTTAAAAAATGGATCAATTTCTTTAACCCAATTCATTAAATTGTACAGGTTAAACGGGTTAGCCCGCAAACTTAACCCGTTTTCCTAGCTCTCATCACCTAAACACACATAGCCACAATTTGTCAGGCACAGCACACACAGGGAGCAAATGAGAGAGAGAGAGAGAATGCTAGCATCGTAGAGCAGAGGCGAATTTTGGATTATGGATGCTAAAAACATATTTTAAGGTAATTTATGACTTTTTAAAACTGAATAAGTATTTTAAAATTTTTATTTTATCTGTCTATCTCATTAGTTTATAGATTTTTAAGGTTGAAAAATCTAAGAAAGTAATCTATTTAGAATTTTTGAGTTTTTTTGTTAATAGAAGATTACTCTAATAATATAGCTTCATCTATTTCAAGATTTTTGGGACATTCAACATCTAGATATAAATTTTCTATTGGATCAAAGGACTCTTAGATTAAGGTTTAGGGCTTAAAAAAATATTCCAAATGTATAGAGGCTTTAAGTAAATAATTTTGACTATTGAAAAAAAAAGGACAATCCACTAGAGTCATAGACATTGAGAAGCTAGGTTTATATAAAAAGAACATAGATTTACAAGAGAATTTTGGATTCTCTAAAATAACTTTAAGATCCTAGAGTAAATTTAGAATAACTTTATAGGAGCTTTGGGTTAGTTTTAACAGCATTGAATTATAACTTAATATTATTATATGTGTGTAATTCTTGTAGACTCTAACTAATAGCTCTTATTTGGACTTGCTATGTGACTACTTGTAAACTTAGAAGAACAGGTAACTTGGGGTCTTTTCATATGTGTACAAACTCTATATTTAATAACAAATACGTATAATCATAAATTTAATTGTGAGAAATTCATATATTACTTGAATCCTGTCAAGTATGCTTGCAGCTTGGTTATATATTATTATTATTGGTGTTTCTTTTTAAGCATCCTTGTGAGTGCAAATTAATGATGTTTATTTGATGGAAATTGTATGTTACTTAAAAATAGTTCATTTCTTTTAAGCATGCTTATATGCGATGTAAATGTTGTACATGTGAGGCATGCATTGGGGATAGATTGATGAGGAGATGATGATGTTGATGTGTCTATGAATGTGTGACCACATGGTTTGCCTCCACTATGCACACAATAGCTAGCCTCTTTCAAAGCCTCGCTCCTCAATACTTACCTGCTAGGTTTGTAAAAGGTGAATATGGAATAGTGACACCTCCTATTGGGGTCTTTAAGGAAGGAAGCTATAGTCTGGGCTTAGGCTCTGTGCCTCTAGCTGGGTATATCTTGAGCACTGGAAAAGCAAGGTCAGTCTAACATGTGGGTCAGACCATATGCAAGCCTATGGTTCCAGTCAACGAAATAAGAATAGATGGAGTAATAAGGGAGATTATTGGTATTGCATATTAGCATATTATGAGTTATGTCTTATGAAATTTTTTATGCCATTACTGAATGATTCTCATGAACATTTATATAATTGTTGTATAATTATGTGGTTGTAGTTTGTGCATATATGATTAAATTTTGGATTACTAAAACTTAGTACTCTCCCCTCTCTTCAACATTTTAGGTAAGCTTGACGAAGCAAAGGGGAAGCATCTGGGAGCTTGGGGCTTAGGTTGAGTAAGTTTTAAGTTCCATTTTAGTTTGTAGAACAATCAATTGCCAATATAGGACTCATTTGTCATTTAAGTTGAGTTTTGAAATTATTTAT